AACGCTGGCGCCGCTTTCGTACGCTGGAAGCGCTACGCTACGCTGCTGTAAAGTATAAACGCAGTCGGACATGTTTTCGGACGTTGATTAAAATCGCAGTCGCAATCATGGGAGGCATCGTATAGTGCTGAAAGTCCTGCTTCACAGCGGTTAGAGTTCGGCTTTTGGGAGGAGCAGTTCCTTTGCATTTTGCAAATTAGGAAAACGTCGCGCCCATTAGCCGCGCGCGGAAGCGGCAATTTACTCAATTCTCTTGCCCGAATACCGGTAATCCTACGCATTGGGCGCCTGCATCCTACGAAAAATCATTGCGTACAGGTGCCCGCAGTGTCGCCAGCGCTTTCGCGCCAAACGAGTGTCATATTCGTGTTCAGGGAGCAAAACTACTCCTGAATGGTACCAGATAGGGATTCCTGGCCCAGTCTGTTATCGATTGCTTGTCTTTGGACAAAATTTGCTTCTTGATATCAGGAAAGCTGGAGCAGTAGTAGAATAACTGCATCGGGAATGGCGAGATGAGGCTTTGTACAGGAGACTGTATCTATAGCTGAATAGGTTGAAAATGAATTGAACTGCACCCCATAGATGTGTCACGTTTCGAGATCAGTTCAAACTGATAGACATAGCTCGAACCTATTCCTTGTTCTAGCTGAATCTGTCATTGTATCTAGGCGTAGTCTGCCCACTAAACAAGGATATGAGGCTCGCTTAGTGCGAAAACGCCTGTATCGGGCGCCACGAGCCCCTGTGCACGCAGATCTTCTACTAGATCACAATGCGCCCAAGCACAGTAATAACTGCATGCGAGTGCGGCACTGCGAACTCTTTTTCAAGCAAGCTCAGGTGAGCAGTGATGTGAATCACACTTTGCCATGTGCCTTCAAGAAGCAGAGAAATTGAGCTCAGCTGAATCCGATCCCATGACCTGTTGCGTGGTAAACGCGGAGGAAAAAGCTCCACAACTCCGCTCAGAGAATCGTTCTGCAAATTTCGAAGGGGATTTGAGATCAGCGTCCAAAACCACGTCCCGTGAGCTATGTCTCATTACAAATGGTCCCTTCGACCTGGCAACCTTCCCTAGTTAGGTTAGTGCAGTCTCCACCCCCACGTGTACACATATATCGGGTACATTAGAGATGGATGGGGCCCGTGATTGGGGAAACTTCTCTCTGACGCCCCGCATATCCCAAATGCAATACATTGGGTCACTCAGATTACCTCCCACTTTGCACTCACGAATTCGATAATTATAACATCATGGCTCACTAAGGCGGCGTTCATATTTGGCGTCGCAACGTTTTCGGAGAAATAGCATTCGAGCGTTAGCGTTTTGAGCTTTGGGCGTACCGGCGTATTGAGCGAATCAGCGTTTCCGACCGGTTGGCCTATTGAGCGAAAACGATAGTGCAGATATCGATCGGCGCCCAAAACGCCGATTCCTTCAGAATGCTGATTCCCCGATGAACGGCTAGCAATCGGGGCCGATCTCCACCTACACTGCCCTTACCGTTCAAACGTCGCATCGCAAAGTATGGATGCAGCCCACCTCCTCTCACCATTCGAAATGGTGGCGGAACAAAAATAACCTTCAAATGTGACCGATTGGGGTTCCGGAGTGCCGCAGTGGGCGGAGTGGTCTCCGTTTCGAGCGGGAGACGGACCAGGAGTCACCGCCGCGCTCGAAACTAGGTCACCGCGCGCGGCGACCTGTTCGCGTGGCGCGGCGGTGAGCCCTGACCTGGCACTTCGCCAACTTCCGATCAATATGACCTATCGCCATTCGTTTGGCGCGTTCTCTCTTTTCCTCATCTTCCATCTGCCAAGAACATGTCCAAACAGGTAGACATGTCTAAACATGCAAACATGTTAAAGCATGTAATCGCCGCGCGCGGTGACCCACTTCCCAGCGCGGCGACCTAGTTTCGGGCGCGGTGGTGAGTCCTGACACGCACCCGTTTCGAGCGAGTCGCGTCTCCCCACATATTTCTGAGCGATAGTGGTAAATCTCCTGCGCTTGTGTGCTCGTGTCAGGTTTGGTTTAATCAAGGAAAGCGTGTGCAAATCAACGCCAGAGAGTGTCGCTGCACATCACAAGCTTGCTAGAAAATTAGCGTAAATGTCGCAAGAGGTGAGTGTCAACGTGTAATCTGAACCGTACACCAATGAGAATCTCCCTCTCAACAGTCATTGAAGAGGGAGCGATTGCATGCACAAGTCTATAAACCCCCAATAGAACCTCATCATTCGCGTCAATTTCTTGTTTTCCTTTGCGCTATCTCATCTGCATGCTATTCTATGATAGTCTCATGCATTCCAGCTCTTCAAGCACGAGAAGAGGTTCACCCACTCGTGGTTCCCTTTCTTGAAAAAGGCTCACCAATGTACTTACGCACCTTTGATAGCTTTGATAACTGCTAGGCTCCGTTTCTATGCGTCACAAGTTCTGCGACAGGACCATGCAGAAAAGTTCAAGTATTAGGTTGGCGCGGAAAGTTCTGTCACATTTTTTCAAATTAGGCTTTCTTTTTATAGAGAGGCGTGTAAGATCAAAATTGTACAGCAATGTTACTGCGGGGTCCTTGCCAGTTTTTGAGCACCTCATGGATGCCATCGCTTCACAATGCAGGGAGGCGCGACGCAAAGTTGGACATCATCTCAATCTTGACTTGAACTCGGGTTATGGAGGTTTTCTCGTCCACATAACGATTGAGTACGGGAGGCAACTCGCAGCAGGGGGGGGGGAACCATCCAGCTCTATTGCATGAGGTACGGCTCGAACTTTTTTGGACGGAGTGCGCTGCACTATCATGATGAGGGCGGGCTGTGCGGACAAATTTTTCCCTCTGATCGACGGTACGCTTTAGATCTCGTAGCTGCTTTGCGTACGCATTGACCGAGGAAGCAGCTTCTTCATCCAGCACTTTCACGACCCGCAGCTCCCTCAGTCTGAGTTCACAGGTAACCCAAACCTCACTTCGTCATCGAAACTGTAGGCTCCCGCTTTGACAAAACTGTAGGCTCCCGCTTTGAAGCATTAGCGTCGTGGAAGGTTGTCCGATAATTGAGGGCATCGTCCTTATTCAGCTCCATTATTTTGGCATCTGCAGCTATCATGCTGGCGTCAGGGTGGTGGAAGAAAGAGTTTGAGGAAGCGCTTGGAGGGTCGGTGCCGATGGTAGCGGATAAAATCCTTGTCCATATTGCAGAAGAAGAAGAAGCAGGAGTCAAGCGAGTGGTACTAATAGAAAGACCACTCCTTGATGTATAAGTGCTCACATTATGGTTCCCCTCTTCAGGTAATGGGCAAGTATTTTGAGTTCGAAAAAGTGTGACAGAACTTTCCGAACTTTCCTGCCCGACGCGATAGTTATATGAACCAAAACATGCATGTATCTGCGCTGTCTCCATCATTCTCGGAGGTGAGACATTAGCGTGGCACAGGGCATAGCGTTCGATGTGGATTCCCTATGGGGGGAAGGTCGTATGAGGCCGCCAAAAGGGGGGGGGGAGGGGGTCGTATTTGGTCATTGTTGGGAGGGGGGGTCGTATTTCTGGCTAGGAGTTACGTGGTTCACTTCATGAGTTTTATGAATTTTCTGTGTTATAGACGCCCGTACGATGTACGTCGCATGCCTACTACATCCCCCTCGACAACTTTTTCGCCGAGTATAAACCACAAGCACAGTCAGCCAATCCAGTGTAGTAAGCATGCGACGTACATCGTACGAGCATGGGGGGGGGGGGTCGTACGAGCTCGACCAAAATCCCCATCGAATGCTGTGCCCTGGGGTGGCAGTGTACAGTCGTCATCCTTGCACTTGATAGGGGCGTGTCGGCGAGAAGGAGCGTGCACACTGTTTGAAGCCTTCTCAGCCTTTTCGTTGAAACGCGTATGCGACAAAAAGTGATAGAAAACGAGTAACACGAAGGATATAATACAGTAATGTCACTTCCTGGTTCAACGATTGGGCAGTACGGTGCGGCGGGAACCGTGGCGCACGCAGCCCACTGACATTGACTATCAAGCTGCAAGGGATAGCGTGGCAGTGTGCTTCATTTGAGCGTAGTGGAAGCTTCATCTTGGTGGATACCAGGTTTGGGTGAAGTATTCAAAGTGTGTGGGAATGTATTCTTGCATTTGTCGAGCACAAAATGAAATGAAATTGTCCCCAACGGATATTTCTCAGAAAGAACGCATATAGTTAAATGAAGTAAGGCAGCTACGCTAACTCCATCTCGGGAATATATGAAACTCAACCGCCGCGCTCGGGAACGACGAGGTCCTACCCATAGTTCATGGAAGGTTACAGCTGACCTCTTTTAGCATCACATCGCTTGAGCCTTCATCCGAGTGTTTCTGTTCTTCACTGTGTTTTCGTTCGTCTGAGCACTGATCCGAAGTGGAAATAGGAATGGCGATGGGAATATTTGTGCCCTCGTCGTCGTTGTGCTCGTGGTGGTCTCCTTCTTCAGTTATTTTTCCTTAAGTATACAATCCTGCGTTAACAATCGATTGATGCTGCAACTCATGAGTTTTTGGTCGCCATACTCTTTATGAGATAAGGGCCAGTTGGAAACATCTATAAAACGGAATTCGAACATTCATTATGCTGAATATCATCTTCTCTACATCATACTTCACTGACATCATTTTTACCGAGATTCCCCCCCCCCCAAATTAGGCTGAACGCGCAGAACCAGGCACTATGCTTCTCGGAAGGGCCACTTGCTAGCTGATTAGCTACGTCATGTCTGCTCACCTTCATCCTCACACCAAGGCAGCGCGGCATGTTTTACCATGGTTCAGTCAACGTCAAACATAAGTCAAAGCATATCATCCTGTCAATTAGGCAGCGTTCAGACTTCGCGACCACGCGCGTCCACGCGCTGTAACGCGCTTCAATTGCAGCAGCGCTCCAAGGCTGTAGAAGCGGACGCAGCCGGAGACGGAAATCGATCGATGTTGCCCGCCTATATGTTGAGAGTACAGAGAACGTTGCTCGATATGCAGCCTGTTATTGACCGGGACTGGCCACCAGAGCGGCGCCGGCAGCGCCGATCAATTCTCATCTGCGGCTGCATTCGCGTCTTCAAGAATGGAGAGCTGTGGCAATTGCAGCGCGTCGACGCGCGTCACAATGTGTCATCGCGAAGTCTGAACGTTTGATAGCTTCAGACGTGGCTCTCATGCGTGAAAAGGTAGCTGAACCTCGCTGGAGAATAGCCCTTCCGAAATCACACAACGCCCAAAACCCCTCATTTGAATGGACATTGTGAACAAAAATTGATGTGCGCGTGGATAGTTGTTCAGAAAGCCTTTGTACGCTTATTACAACCAACTTCACTGTCGCGACTTGGAAAACTGAACACTGCTACAAATGTGGACCTGCACATTACATCCATGAAGAGAATCTATCTCGTAGAGGCATTCCAAACGTCTTTGAACTAATTAATACTTCGCGACTTGAGCAACTTAGCGCGCGATTCCGTGGGAATTTGCGATGGCGCTCCACCGCCGACCCTTGGACCACTGCAAACGATCAAAAGATGGGAGCGGTTGCACTGATCCAACAATTAGCGGTGGAGCGCGCTAGTCATAGTCGACTGAGTCGGTCGAGTCGCGAAGCGGTAAAATCGACTGTGATATGTGGCATATATACAAGTCGCCCACATGTACATCCTAGTACTGACTGATCTGTACCTCGAATAGAAGGTTATCGAAGCGCTTCCGCACTACTGTATACTAACACATAGTGCCCCATCTTCTTTATGCTGCATAAGTGGATTCCGTACCTGCGACTGCATGCTTGTCCGATTCTTGGTTTTTTGCTGACTTCGACTTGTCGCTCATTTTTTGAGAACACGACAGCTGGGTTTTGTCCTCCAGGAAACGTCCTCCTGGTAGAAGATTTGGCAGAAGTCGAATTTTTTCCAGTGAGCTAGCGTAGTCACTCGCACAAATGTCATCCTACGAAATGAACATTTGACAGGTACTATGATGTTCAGGAACCTTACGCTTACCGATTCTTCTCGTTTTTTCGACGTTTCACTTTTCATCTCGTTATAGGTCTAGTTCGATATGAGACAAGAGAGTAATACTAAGACGGTGAGTGGTTGCGTCTGCTCTACGGCAAAGGCATTTGGTGAATGCCTGAGAGGTCGAACTCATTGGAAAAATGATTTCAAACTGATACCAATGATAGGGTGGAAGGCTATCCTGTTATATATAATCCGCTAAGTATGTCTGTCTGTGCGTCTGTCTGTCTGTCACGAAATTCATAGCGCCGGTCCCAGTAACAGTGAGACATTGATTTCAAGAAGTGATGTAGGCGGTGTGACGAGAGCACTATTGGTGGGTGATAGGAAGCTGATAAGATTTGATAAGAGCTTTTACAAGCGGAAGGTCACTATGTTCATGACACGGGTGACAGCATCAGCTGGTGTTGATTCCAAGATATGATATAGGGTATGGGACGGGAACATTATTGGTGGGTGACAAGAACTGTTAGCAGCTGATAAGATTTAGATGTTGATAACGGGCGTTAGAAAGGTAAGG